ATTTGAATTAATTATTTAATTGAGAATATTCATGTTTCGGTGAATTTCCGGTGGTTTTGTGAATATTGGAAAATGTGCATTTTCGGGTATTTATTTGATTAATAACATATAATATTAATTTATTAGTATTATTATTAATTAAATGGAATATAAGTGAAATAAGGGCAATTTGGGCATTTGAGGGAGTTAGTAAGGGTAATGAGGGAAAAGCCCAATTTGTGAGGCCCAAGACTAAGTTAGACAAAATAGAGTTCTGAGAGGAAATTGGAATTCATTTGTGTTTAACGTGAAATTTTGGTGGCCAGAGCTCTGAAGGAAAGGTTGGAGGCAGAAGATCCCGAAGTTAATCGTGAAAGTTGCGAATCGACTAAGGTATGGGGAGTATCGCATTTCATGATTTTCTATGTATGCCTTTCGGTGTGTTTATGGTGAGGTTTATGGTTTAGGGTATGTTGGGTTGATTTGGGAGAATTAGGAAAATTGATGGATAGACTTTGAGGTTATGATTGACGATATGTATCTCTGAATATTGACATGAATTTAGGAAACCTTATCAGACTGTTTGATGTGTAACACGAGAAAGGAAACCTTAGGCCTTGTGGCCAAAACCTTGGATTGTGATATGTTGACCCTGTAGGAATAGGAATATTCAAATGTGAGTAACTCTGATGCACTCAGAGCAATTGCAGGAAAATAGTGTTTTAGGCAGTGCAAATGTTGCCGGATTAGCCTAATGAACCATAGATCTTGTACCGTTATCGCCGTATGACCTTAGGGATGATTTATGGATGTTTTGGGGGCATGAGATGTGTGAATCGTATGAGTTTTTGGGTGGAAATCAGTTCTGGTGCGTAGCAGAAGTTGCTGTCATCGCACTGTTCGCCTAGCGAGCAAGCCAACGAAGGTTTGCTACAAGACTCGCCTAGCGAGCAAGCCATCAAGGATTCTCTAGAGGCTCGCCTAGCGAGGGGCTCGCTACGAGACTGGCCTAGCGAGCGAGCCAGCGAACGTAGCAGAGTTCGCGAAATTAATTGCTGTGCAGCGATGCCGTGATGTGTGATTCTGGGATTTATGGGATGAGTTGCCATGAGTATGACAGTGGGTTTTAGGTGATGGGTACATAATGTTATGATAGTTTTCTATGATGTATCGATTGATTTAATATGATGAAATTACCATGATTTGATGAACTATGTGATAACATAAGATATGATGATTTATGTGATTTATGTGATGATGAGTATGACGAATGATTACGCACCATATGTTGTATTATGAGGATTATTATTGTGACGTGTGCATCATGCATTCATGCGCATTCGATTGCTTTGGCTTCAATCCCACTGTGTGGATGTGAAGTATTTTGATATGCTCTGATCCTATTGATGGGGATCTATGGAGGGTTGATGGCCCAGTGTCCATCAAGCTGTGATGTTTGGTACCACATGCATTGAGTTGTGTTGCATTGCATTTATGAGTCTTTGTGTATAAATTATGATGTTGTGACCTTTAAGGCATATGTGAGTAATATGAATATGTTGAAGGTGTGAAAAATACACAAGAAATGGGGGGTTTGAATTGGGTATTTCCTCTACTGAAACTTTTAGACTTTTTCTTTTGAGTTGCTTTCTATAATATTCTTTTCTTTGCGTTGCAGACGCATATAAAGCAAGATATAAGTAAAGAACACAAGATATATCCTGGTTCACTTGAGCAACCCTCAAGCTAATCCAGTCCACCCTTCCAAGGTGATTTCGCCTCACTCACGCAAGGACTTAATCCACTATAACCAAACTGATTACAGATATGCACAAGCTAACTGCAAGTGACTAACAAATGGACAATGACACGTTCAGGGATCCCTTAAGGATATAGCGCTCATTGATCCCACAAATGACAACTGTCACTTGTCATCTCAAGTATACTGATCTTCACAAGATCACTTGAGGAACCACTAATTCTAAAAATAGAATTTATGTTACAAGAGATTACATGAGTGCTTCTTGATATGCAGGTTACTCCTAATTTAGTACAGAGCAAGTATTGAGCAACAGCTCCTTGTATTCTAATATAGAAACTAATCTAAGGATGAATCTCAGGGCTATTATTAAGAACAGTAGTTTCCAAATTGCTTAAAAGCTTTCATAGGTGAGCACTGCGGCTTCTTAGCGTAAAAGCTTTCCTTTGGTTATGCATACTGATTATAGCAGCAAGAACAACGTCAACTGCAACCATGGCAACATCAACATTTGAATGACTCAAATGTTTTTCTTTTATAGTGTATACAAGAGATACGTTGTGAGGACAGAGATGTCCATTCAAATATTTCAACTGTCATATCTCCAATGGATAGAATAGTCACGTGTTGGAAAGTATAGTGACATCACTTACTTTGTCTTTTGTACAGATCAGCTTCTGGCTTAACTTCTTCTTCTGATGTATCTGATGAGTAGTTCAGAAACTACTTTGGTATGATAGTGTAATAACATCAGAGTCTTACTTCAGAACTTGTTTACCAGAGTTTATTAACATGTCTTTATCTGGGTGTTGCTACATAATCTTCAACTTCAGAATCTAGTCTTCAGAGTCTTTCTGCACTTGGTCTTCAGAGCCTTCAAAACTTCAAGTCATCAGATTCTTCAGAACGTAATTCTTCAGAAGATTATTTCTTCAGAGTCTTGATCTTCAGAACCCTTAAGTATTCAGAGTCTTCAGAGCTTGATTCTTCAGAGGACTACATCTCAGATGCATTGATAGCTTCTAGATCAAATACACTTCTCAGAACAGAATCCACAAGAGCATTGCAACAACAATATACATCATCTTTGGATCTTTCTGATTATGATCAGATACAGTGGCAAACTGTTTCTTGAGTAGGCGCTTTAAATTCTTTATCCAGAATATCACGTGGTACTTCACTCAGAGTTTCACTTTGTTCTTTGTTCAGAGTTTCCTTGAAAGCTATGCTTTAAGTCACGTCACACAAAGTAACTTCATATTGGCTTTCATGCACTTCTTGATATTGTTTGTTGATTTGATATATTTATTTAATGATCTGCGCACAACAAACATTAGAACATAAAATGATTCCTTCATAAATACTTAACTGTTATCATCAAAACATAGAGATAACATGTAGAGACAAATCTTGCTCTTACATATGTTGCCATTTATGCATTAATTGTCATACATTGATTATTATGAATTATTTTACTCACCCTGTCTGTTTGAATGTTACCTCTACATGGACAACGTGCAGATGATCCAGTTTAGCCGTGGACGCCGTTGAGGAGTTAGTTTGAAGTTTTTGAGCGTTTTAGTCTTTTGGTCAGCTTAGAGGGTCTTGCTTTCATCGGGTTGGGTTCCTTGAGTTGATTTTATGTTGTTGACGTTATTTTGATTAATTTCCCTCTTTGAGGAAACTTTGAATTATGTTTGAATTCCGCTGTTTATGATGCTTTGATGTGTTTTGGGAAAAAACCCGTAGTTATGGAGTATGGACCTATTTTGATGAATTTGAGAAATGTACGCCCTTTTGTGGCTTTTTATGAAAGCTAATATTTTACTCTGAAATCCGTGTTATTTTGCCGTAATATCTGTGAGGTAGAATAAGGGTGTTACATATGTCATCATGGCACAAGCATAAAGGGCACTGTTGTACCAGAGACATCACCGGAGGACGAATGGATTGATGGCCGAGGAGGCAGAGCAGGCAGAATAGGTAGATAAGATGTTGTCAGACACACACAATAGTAGTCTATTATTATTTTGTTGTAGTACTATACTCTCTACTTTATTTTTCTGATTTCATTATATTTTGGATCTCGATTGTACGAAATTTTCTACATATATTGCTATATTATTTTTGACACACAAAGTATTAGTCTCTTATTATTTCGTACGTCTATTTTTTTATTCAAGATCGGGCGTCATACTTCATCTGAAAACAAATACACAACTTATAGTGAAAAACACTTGTTCTGATACACTTCAGAGATGTATCTCCGGAATATTACCGGAGATGCATCTCCAGAAAAATTCAAATGTAAATGGTTTCTAAGTGACATGTTTTGAATGTTTAAAATGGTTCCAAAGAATCATCTCCGAAATATGTCAACGTTTATTCAGAAATAAGTGCGTTCGGAGATGCATTTCCAAAATCTAGAGGCACTTAAATAATTTCGCTTGGTGCTTAAGAACTACCTAAGGTGCCATAAGAAATTCTCTTGTAGGAATACAACTCTACCCATCTCCAATGGTTAGTTGTAAAAAATTATCCACAATAAGTAGGGTAAAAACCTGCAAAATAGGTACAAATACGAACACAAACAATTATCCACTAAAATAAGCGGGTACAGGTTAAGATACAAGTATCTTAGTACTAAATCCGCCCCATACTCACACAATATATATTTATATATTTTTATTTTTATTATTATGTACATATGTTAATCTAACAATTTTATTAAATGCTCGTTTATTTATTAACTCAACAATAACATCCTCAACTTTTTTTAAATATTGTTAAAAAAATTAAAATGATATGAATAAATTATAATTTATCAAATTTTTTTAATTAAAAATACATATATGGAACCAATATTTATCCTCATAGTTGATATATATATATATATATATATATATATATATATATATATAGTTGCTTTGCATAAATCTTAGTCATTATCATCTCTAATCCATTGATGGTCACTCATACTCTACTGTTTATTTTGTGTTGATAAAATTTATATTTTATGCGTTGAATATATTTTAGTATCATTTATTTTAAATATCGAATAGAGCTTAGTCTATTTTAGATTCGTCTCCTTGTGAATGGATGGATGTTAGAAAAAAAATTAATCTATTTTTATAGCTAGACCCTTGTGCTTATATTTTTTTTATAACAACAGTATTTTAGCTTTTCCAAAAATAAAACAATTTTGTCTAGAAATAACATTAAATTAAATTTTATAATGAAATATACTTCGCAGTTGGCGTGAATGATACTGCGACCAAAGAAGACCAACGCCGGTGCTTCAACACTACCGGCGATGGCGAAGAACCGAAGTTCCAAAGCTACCATTCTCTTGATCTTCATCTCCTTCATAGCTTTTTGCGCCTTTGTAATTGTTCCTGTTTTTGCTCCACTTCCTTCTATTCAATCTCGCCATCACGCTCATCATTCTCATCCCAAAAAAGTACATTCCTTTACTCTTTTCCCGCCAGAATTACTTCTCTTACTTTCATATAGTTTCTTGGTGTTTATTGTCAATTAACTCTCTATTTTTGATTTATGAACTATATTTTTGTTAAATGCTATGGTCAACAGAAATAAATTAATCAGAAACAAATAGTAATAGTTAGATTTTGCAATAATTTTTAGGTTTTCTTCCTAAATTGCTAGGAGAATTAAGGATGATGTGATTTTAGTTGCTATAAATTGTTCTTCTTGTTGAGTGAGTGATATTGAGATTGTTACTAAAAATGTGTTTGATTTTTAACTGTTTTTAAATGTGTCATATATTATTACTATTTTTTTTTTTTCTATTTTGAGGTAACTTGATCTATAGTTTGTTTGATGTTTTCTGACTTAGCTACCCTGCGATTGTTTTAATCAGGTCCATAGGAAGTTTGAGATTGCAGATGATATGTTTTGGAAAGATGGTGAACCTTTTCGGATCATCGGTGGTGACTTGCATTATTTTCGAGTGCATCCGGAGGTACACATCTTGCTAATATGTATTAATTTTGTGAGATGGATATTTGAAAACTGTCCATAGTCTGCAGATCGTAATTGTATGGTTGTCAATGACAATACTATTGCATATTTGGTTCTTTTCATGTGTTATATTTACATACTCACCGGCATTTTGAAGTGACGGGACGCAAGTCAGTAGGAGTCAATATGCTTTGAATTTTTTCCCGTACCAAGCTATTGTTAAAAATGGTGGAAATTTTGCAATCACTATAGGCATCATAGATATCTTGGTCCAACTATGTTCTGCTATGAAGGTGTTATAATCAGATCGTTGCTTCTCCTCATGTTCTTCATGAGGATAACACTAGATATAGATTTCAAAAATAATTGGCTATGAGAGTTTGCGCATGCATTGAAACTTCTTTACTATATTCACCAATTTTGATCTCTATAATTGGAAATTGTCAAATTTTTAGAAAAGTTAGCTTGCAGTCAAATTCTTTCTACGGTCTTTCTTACATTAGAGTTCAGACATAAAAACTGTAGTGTTAAGGCATAACAAGAAAGTGGAGCTAGCTGTGATTGCATCTGGCACCTCTTGTAATCTTCCTATCATCGTCATACGGATGAAACAGATTCATGAATGAAGTCTGCCCCGTTATTCTTTTAGGCATCATAATTAATTTTTTTTAAACGCTTTCATATGGTGATACCATTTTCCTTCTAATTTGCAGTATTGGGAAGATAGACTGTTAAAAGCCAAGGCATTGGGCTTGAACACAATTCAGACGTATGTTCCTTGGAATTTGCATGAACCAACACCAGGAAAGCTTGTTTTTGAGGGTTTTGCAAATATTGAATCATTCCTAAACCTTTGTCACAAACTCGATCTTCTTGTGATGGTTCGACCTGGACCATACATATGTGCAGGTTAGCTCTCCCATAACCTAAACAAATACCTAGTTTCTCTCTTTACCATTTGAGCTTTTAGTTTCTTTGGTAAAATATAATTTACTGGTTTTCATGTATTCCATGTTAGTGGATAATGTAATTTTGTTATGTCCTCTCTTAGATTTGTGTATTTCTTATAACAAGACAGCAGTATTATATGCCCTTATCATGTTGCAAACTTCTGTGAAGCTAGATTTTCTAAAGTTTCATTTGATGGTAGTACATAAAGAATGATATTTCTAAATTTTCCCACTGATTTTTCTATTCAGTAGTATCTAACCAGATTTTATGGCATATTATAATTACATTAGATTCACTTGCTGAAATTTATACTAATATTTAAGAAATCTTAAATTGAAATTGTAAACCATATTTCTCCATACTCAACCATCCAGTTTAAGGTGATTGGGCTAAATAATTTAACAGTAAAATCTTTTTCTAATTGTACTCCGACATGTGTTTGTTCTTCTAATTGCATTGCATTTCTGTTCTATAAACATCATAAATGACATGTATGAGATTCACTTACATTATTTTCCATTTATCATGCATAATTGCAATTTGTTTGTCAAAAATTATAAACTTTAATGATCTCTCTCTCGATCATGACTTTTTGATCGGGTAGATTTGTATGATTCTATCCTGATCCATGATGACAATAGTCATTTCTCCCTAATAGTATGGCCAAACAAGATGCAGATGGTGTTTCTTGATGCCAATTTTTTGTACACAACAACCGGAAGCTAAAGTAAACAGAGTAATTGCAAGAAAAAGGCAAAACAGATTCAGCGAGGTTCTACAATGTGCTTAAATTTTCGAGGGCAGAGCGACTAAGTTTTTCATAGATAAGAGCCACGCACAACAACACAATCCAAATTTTGTATAGCCAACCGTTGTCAACTTTTGGCATAATTATTTTAATTTAAGAAGAAAATGATCATTTGGCTTGCATATGCTGTGTGCTAATTTTTACAGCTCTATAAGCTTTCTATTTTGATATCTTTTATTATTATTTTTTTACAATTTACTTAATTTCCCCTTACAATTTCCATGTGCGTTGGTGTTGATACTTTGTTAAAAATGATGATCAAGAATTCAATATGATGACAGCCACAGTGATTTATTTCAGAGTGGGACTGGGGTGGTTTCCCAAGTTGGTTATCTTCCATGAACCCATCCCCCATACTAAGATCATCTGATCCTGCTTTTCTTAAACTGGTATGCTATACTTATTATGCTTATGATAACATTGATCTACATTGCAACCAACTTCCCAATCACTAATCTTGTGGTTGGGTTTGTGTTTTATGTTTTTTTCTTCTAGATTTCTATCTTATATATAGCTGCATTATTCTCTTTTTATTTGGGAGTCTTACAATGCTCGTTATTAATTGCATTACATTGGCTTAGTGAGTCCTGTGTCAACCCTACGACTTTTGGGCGAATCATTTCAGCTTGTGGAACGTACAACTGGTGAAGCCCTCACATCATGATAGTGATAGTTTATATGGTACTGGGGTGATGCTAAGAAATAAAGATGCACCTTCACCCCAGTCATAAGAGATAGTGTTGGAACAAAATAGCCTGGAGGTCAAGATTGCTTTACTTCCTTTCACTCTTTGGGCCAGCATTTACCTCTGAAACAACCTCATTGGGGTCTTCTCTTAATATGCCACTGTCACAGGCTATGCTTAACTAAATCATAGTTTAGTTATTTACTGGAAAGAAAAGGTGAAATTTGTTTGTCGTTTCACTGTAGTGGCATGTTAGTGGTTTACAGGGAATAGGTTAAATAAACCCTTGTGATTATTATGCTGATAGCTTTTTGTAAGCATTGCTAAATTATGCATCTAAAAACTTTGGCATTCATTAAAACATGTATCTTGGAAACATTTGCTGTACGTCTTTCTGTGTTTATTCATTATTAGTATTGAGGTTTGCACTTACTATAGTTTTTTATGTAAGGTTGAAAGATGGTGGGGCAAGCTGCTTCCAAAACTTGTTCCTCTCCTATATGACAATGGAGGCCCTATAATAATGGTTCAGGTATATTGTTTTTTTTTGGTAGAATTGGACAATTCTATTTGCCTGATTGACATTATTATACTAGATGTTTGCAAAGCATGTTCTGATTTCAGAAAAAGAAAGTCTAGGTACTTATGTTGGAAAATGGAAGAATTACTCATATTAAGACTCATATTAATGTTGAGTATGACTCGTATTAAGACAAACAGGAACATAATATGTGGAAACTCCAAACATGTCTTAGGCCCAATTGTTTGTTGTGGGTAGGTGACCGGGGAATGCGGGGGCGTAGTCCCCACGGTACGGTTCATGGGTATTATTTTAAGCTGAGTCGTAGTATTATATATATTTCTTGTAACATTGTAACCCTAATTTATCACAAAAATAAAAGGAACTATAGCTGCTCTATTGTCGCAGAGGTAGACACCATTGGCCGAACTGTGTTAACAAAGATCAATCGTGTTCATTGTCTTTTACTTTCATTTCTCTTTAATCTTCTATACTGGTTGCCGTTCTAACCGTTAATGTGATATGTGTTAAATATGCTTGGATCTCAACCTAAAAACCTAGCTCAAAGGGTGAGGTTGCCCTCACATATTTATACACTCAATAGTCCGGAAACCTAAGGAATGTGGGACTTCAAACAAACTCCAACATCACAACTACCAACTACAACACCCACCCTCACGCCTAGCATGGGCCTGAGCCCGACTCTGATACCCACTTAAGAATGTGTGGTTGGGTCTAACTCAACCCTACAAAACCGGTTTGTAGGATGAGGATTGCCCCTATTTATAAACACATGTTCAGACCATAGATTGTGTCAACTAACATCACAAGCCACAGTGATTTGTAGCAGAGGTAGACACCATCACAAGCCAATACCTGTTACTAATAGTCTGTGTCAACTGCTAATATTGTATGTTGAACTAGACTGATACAAGCCTAGACCACTAACATCTCAAGACTCGAAAAACCATAAGAAGCCTAGGCATATTCTAACATTTTTCATTCTATTTGTTTCTCAAAAACTAAAGTTATGTGTCATCTGTTAGCATTTAGTTGAAGATAGTTTGTCTAAATACAAAGATATTCTCCTATTGTTGTGAGGTCTTAAATACTTGAATTTCTGTGTTGGTTTAGGACTTAAAGTTTTTGTGTTTGAATATTTAAGATTTATGTAGTTCTTCTCTTTTGAATTTTAACTATTTATCTCATGAAAGGAGAAATAAATTAACATATGACATCGTTTGACACAGGTTGAAAATGAATATGGTTCATATGGAGATGATAAAGCATATCTCCAACACCTGATAACACTAGCTAGAGGTCATCTTGGGCATGACACTATTTTGTATGTGCTTTTAAGTTTTTTAAGCCTATCTCTCATTTCTGCTGTAATATGATGTAGAATTATAGATCTTATAACAGAAGACTGTTATTGAAATGGCCCACTCCCCCTCTTACCTGCACACACTTCTAGAGTGAGCTTCTTAAGGCTGAGATTGTCAAAGTCCCACATCTGCTAGATTTATGGCTAGGGGGTTTGTTAAGATCTCACGTTTGCTAGATAAATGGCCAGTGTACTTGTCATAAAGATTTGGGCAATCGTCCTCCCATATTCAAACATGATATTAGAGTCTATCCGAATCCCAATATTGGGCCACTCATATAGGTGTCTGAACACTGTATGTCCAGTCCTGTCCTAGACTTGAAGGGCACATCAACTAGATATAGCTAAATGAAAACGATATAAGATAATAGACTTGTATTCCAAATGCCTTAAGGTTTTGTGTGAAGATGTGATGTTAAGTTCCTAGTTGTGGTTTGTTACTTGCCCCATCGGTGCACGCCCCTTTCTTTTGGGCTCCCTCAAAACTCCAGACAAGAGAGATAAATGAGATAATGTTCAATGGCAGCATTTTGTTAAGTGTAAGGTATTGAGTTTTTTAATGGGTAGGTTGGTTTGAAGCTGCAACATGAAACTAAACTTCAACTTCTACTTTAATGTACAAGTATACCCCAAAAATCCCAAACCTAACCTGATTATGGTGAAATGCAATATAAAGGGCAGTCAGAGGAAGATCTACTTTCTTATTTTTGTGTTTCTTGTTGTCAGATACACTACAGATGGAGGGTCAAGAGAAAATCTTGAAAAAGGAACTATTCGTGGGGATAGTGTGTTTTCAGGTGAAATTCCAATATTATAAGTGATGTTAATAAGGTCTTACAAACATATATCTTCTCTAATCCAGCTCTTTTTCTCCTTCCTTCCCGACATTAATCTTTTGTTTCTTTAGTATCTCATTTTGTTACATTAGGGGCATTACAGATTAGTTAATAGACTTACGTTGACATTTAATTACATATTTCTGTATAGTATGTGGTATCCATTGCTTTGACCATATTTGATTGTATAACCTAATGCATATTATCTTTTTATAGCTGTTGACTTCACTACCGGTGATGATCCTTGGCCCATATTCAAGTTACAGAAGGAGTTCAATGCCCCAGGAAAATCGCCACCTTTGTCAACGTAAGTTTATTAGTGTGGACTACTTTTTGTTTATTATTCTAGATACTAAAGAGTGCTTGTCTTATCAGCGAGTTTTACACTGGGTGGCTTACACATTGGGGAGAGAAAAATGCTAAGACTGATGCTGATTCCACAGCAGCTGCTCTTGAAGAAATTTTGAGAAAAAATGGTTCTGCAGTCCTATATGTCTGTCGCAACCTATGCCTTTGTACTGTTTGAAAACCACATTATGATTGATCCTTTTGAATTGGATCTTCTAATTTTCAGATGGCACATGGTGGCTCAAACTTCGGATTTTATAATGGAGCAAATACTGGTGCAAACGAGGCTGACTATAAGCCTGATCTCACTTCGTACGATTATGTTAGGATTTTTTAAACTCATGTTTGCACCTTCTATTTTGAATTATGGTATGCACATTACAAACTAGACTATCTCAAATGCAGGATGCCCCAATCAGGGAAGCTGGCGATGTTGACAATTCAAAATTCAATGGTATTTATAGACTGTGTTTTTCTCTCATTTTCAAGCTATCGATTCTCTACTTTTCATTTTGTTGGCTATATTTTTTATAAGCTTCCCTTTTTCTTGTGAGTATTTGCATGTCCCTACCCCAAAATATGTTTTGGTGATGTGCAAACAATAGTTAGTCACTGAGGTGAAATAGAAACTTGAAGCCTGAGCTAGATTTCCATTTCGAAATTCTCCCCCCCTGAGGGGTGTTATGGATGTAATCTTCTAAGAAAGGGATTTTACATATTCTTTAGCTTATAGGACCTATCAGCATCAGCATGTAATGAATCCTAAACCCATAGAAGCTGCATATGTAATATTTTGAAGAAAAAATAAAATGTTATAAAAAATACACATAATTCTAGTGACTGGAGGGTCTTAATTATAGTCCTAAATACTTATGTTAGTCTGTTACTAGGACGTGAAGGGTGTGCTGAGATTCCGCATCAAAAGTTAGAGATATTCTGAATTAGTTCTTGATATGAGTTAGAATTTGGACTTTAAGTCTTGCTGAATCCTAAAATCTAACTCCTAGGGTGAGATTAGCCCTATTATAACCATTGTTCAAGCCATATCACTATCCAATTTGAGTCTCAACACCCCCTCACGCTTGGCCCTGGACATTTGGGTGTAATGTTTGCAGGACTGAACAACTGCAGAATCTAGTAGGTTGTGACACTATCTTAGAAGTTGGATTTAGGCCTAACTCAACAAGAAAAGCAAGCCTGGTGAGTATTGTCGAAGCCTTATGAAGATAATTTGGACATACCTCTAGTCATGTGCAATCTCAACAACTTTCAACAATTTTTAACTTATCATGAAGAATTTACAGTCTAAAACGTTTAACACTTTAATCACTTTGTACTAGCAGATAAATGTTAATCACAAATTGATTTGCCTCCTTAATTACATTTACTAGTTTGTTCCTATCGCCTCTAAGGGACAAATAAAAATTGATTTGTTCTCACTAATTGTAATTATTTGTTGTAAATACTTATATAGGCTGTAATCTCTATTTATACAAGGAATATCAAATAGAAAGGCATCAAGCCAAAAACAAGTTCAGATGTAAATTAGTCACTGCATAATATCTTTTCAATGACCCAAATGAAAATTATTTTTCCTTTTGTTTTTTTTTTCAAATATTTGTTAAACTTTCTAATTTAACTATGATCGTTCAAGCAAAATATTAACTGTGTTTGTATATGTTTCAGCGATTCGGAGGGTTATAGCCCGATATAGCTCTGTACCTCTTCCATCTATTCCTTCTGACAATAAAAAGGCAACATATGGAGCAATCCACTTAAAAAGACAGTCATCCTTATTTGATATGTTTGATTTCACCAATTCTTCCAAAGCTATTAAATCCAAAAATCCAATGTCAATGGAGAATGTGGGCCAGGTATGTTGATGCTGTTCATACTGATGCCAATTCCCTAAATGGTATACTATTGAAGCTTGATGATGTGTGTTCAGTTTTTTGGTTTTTTATTGTATGTCACTGAATACGAAGCACGGAGAGGGGAAAGAATTTTGTCCATACCAAAGGTGCTGTTTGAACCCTTTCATTAATTCTCATTGCTTTTTATCTGTTTTCATCGTATTTCTATTAGCCAATAAAGTTTAGAGAATGTCTTATCTATCTCGAAGTTATTTAGCTTTTCTAAATATTAGAATTGTCAATATGCAGGTGCATGACAGAGCCCAAGTATTTATCTCATGTTCTTCTGAAGGAAGGGGTGCAAGACCGACTTATGTTGGTACTGTGGAAAGATGGTTGAATAAAAAACTCAGCCTACCTGAATTTCAATGCCTTTCTAACATCAACTTATATATTTTGGTATATACCTTTTTTTAATGTATTCTTATTTCTTTTAGTAAGAAAAAAATGTTTTGGAGTTGAGTTGAGCATTTGAGATGGCATATGTCAGGTATAAAACAAGTTTTAATCTCTCAACCTTTTCATTAGATAGGAGTCCATAATACTATCCTCGTCTTTCATTATGGGGATAAGGAAATGCCAGGGAATTTAAACATTTATCGGCAATTTTAACTTTAGTGTGGTTGGATCATTTTATACTGTTCGTATAAACTTTGTTATTAAACAACTCATAAATTTAGTTATATACTTGTATAGTTGGTTAACTATGACTGTAGAAGCTATGCATTTATACATATTAAGATGACAAAGATAAACTTTTAATGTTTCATGGGATTTTGAATGTTTTCTATTCTTCCCATCTTATGCAGGTTGAAAATATGGGTCGTGTAAATTACGGGCCTTTCATTTTTGATAGGAAGGTAAAAGTCATGAATATGAATTATATGATGATGCTTCTCTATGGGTTTGATTGTGATATTGGTTGATCTTTGTCACAACTTCTACAGGGCGTTCTGTCATCAGTTTATCTGGATACGAATAGATTACAAGGATGGAGAATGTTCCCTATTCCTTTGCATAATCTAAATGAAGTGCCAAATTATAATCCCATCATGCAGGCTACATATTCTGCATTCAGTGAAATATCAACCTCCAGGAAGAGGTTGATGAACAAGTCTGGTATGTGCCAAAATAGCCATGGAAAGAAAAAGACGATACTTTTCCAATCACTTCATTGGATTTTATATTGATAACGTAAGTGTTTGTTTCTTTTGCAGAAAATACTTCAAAAGAACCAGCTTTTTATTCAGGACACTTCTTCATCGATAAATCAAGTCAGATCAAGGATACATTTTTGTCATTCAACAATTGGGGAAAAGGCATTGCGTTTGTTAATGACTTCAATCTTGGAAGATATTGGCCAGTAAAATACTTTTTTTTTACTCTTGAATCAATTACATTTGCAATTACGTTACGCGATTTATTGCTCCGTTATCTATCTATAAATGATTTTTTTCTCTCTTTCGAACATTAATTTATGGTTCTTTAATAGTTGAAAGGACCGCAGTGCAGTCTTTACGTTCCTGCCCCAGTCCTTAAGCATGGAGATAATTTTTTGGTATGGCTTGGAAATAGCTCTACTATTATATATGTATCTATAACATTTATTATTGTATATTTAATGTGAATAATATCATTGAGAATCACAACTTGAGTAATGGTGCAACTGTGATTGCACCCTTGTCAACCAATGTACAGGTAATATTCGAATTGGAATCTCCGAACTCCAAACTTGTGGTGCACACTGTTGGTGAGCCAGATTTCACATGCGGCTTTAATGGGATGAACATCCATCGGGTTTAATACCATGTCAGAAAATGGGTTTGACTTTTAAAAACATAAATGGAGAGAGGTTGAAGGTTTAGAGTTTTTCAGTATGGCTATTGTTAAGAACCCTCTTATATCTATTGTTGTTATGCTTGTAAGAGAACATGTGAAGCAAAACTTCATGACAGGTTGATTCAGTCGTTTTTAACCAGGCTTATCAAAGAGTAGTGGTTTGTATGTAATAACATTAATATCTAGTTATCGATAACTTTCTAATATTGCGCGATACCTATAATTTGTGTGTCTGGAAATTTGTATTTCTATGGTGACACTTGTGGTAAGTTTAACGCCATGCTTTGGAGCTTTGAATTGATGTGCATCTGATTGCAAGACAAAGCAGATCCAAACATTTTGTTAGTAATTGATAACTCTATATTGCACTCTAATAAATGTGTTTAAATAGAGGATCTAGCACAAGCTCTCCGTCTCTTCCTGCAATGGTTCATTTCTTCAAACAATGATTCTTGTGTCACAATAATTGAAATGGTTTAATTGGTTGTGTTGAGAAACATTGGGCACGTTTATATGGTCAAACACAGTTCTAATACATTTTAATCGATTCATCTTGAAACAACATTTCCTAACTTATATCGCTGTTTGGCTGTAATTGATACGGTAATAAATCAACTTAGTTTATCAACTTTTTCCTTTTCAACAAATGGCCATTTTGCGTCCCTTCATTTTTACTCCTCAACCCTGTTTCAGGTTGTAGAAACACCGTTTGTGAGGATTTGGGCTCCAAAAGCCCACTAATTGTACAAAAGTCCTTCAACTTTTGATGATCTAATGTAAAAAGAGAATTTCTTAATGCACTCTAGATCCTTCTAATGTACCACGTGAATTTTCTCAAATGTCTTATGATTTTCGAGATATATCTTCGGACGTACTTGTTACACTAGATTTTTTGACTTAACTATGAATGACAAATATTTGAGGCTAGCTGTAAATGTGCCATGTGAAAAACAAAAATAAATTCAACGTGATTAATATGACTCAAGGTCGGGGGTCACCTATAATGATGCTGGTCGAAAGTGTTGTCGAAAAGCTTAATGAAAAACATAGGGACTTAGTGAATTAAGCACCATGTTACGGTAGCACTTGGTGAAATGGAATACCAGGTAGCGTAGAGTTCACTACGATGGTAGGCAACACGTCGAAACATGTTACTTTAATATATGTTCGACGATGGAGGTTTCGACGAGGACTATTAGTTCTTGGCGCCAACAGAGAAGTTAAAAGATTCAAAAGAAAGAGCGAGACGGGAACTATTGCATATGCGTCGACGATTACTCAGAACGTGGGCACGTCAAGGAAAAAACCGCTACATGATCTGAAAACGTGTCATCACGGGGATAGTTTTTTAGTCTTGTACAGTTATTTTAGACTTGTACATATAGCAACTTAGGTTTATTTTGTAAAAGGTCTGCAAATTGTACACATTTCTGCTACACTTAAAGTACACGCGCTGTGAGAAACGAGTGAGAAAAATGTACGTATGTGTTCCACCAATTTAATACATTCCAACATTTTTATTTTAAAACGTCATGTTTTTATGCGTTTCAACCCTTTTTTACTTTCGACTGCCTTTACGTTTCCCGCACTTTATTTTCGATCGTCTTTATCTTTTCAGCAAACTTTACTTTTCTGCACTTTACTTTAAAAGTCTTTTAAGTTTCAGCCTTTTATCTTACTGCACTTTATCTTTCTACGCAAACACTTTACTTCGTTTTACCTTGCATTTTGTTCGCATTTGCCTTGCATTTCAGTCACGTTTCTTTATCACGACGTTGTTCGAGAAGTTTGCGTTGACTTCGACGAACACCCTTATTTTTGATAAAAATGACACAGAAATATGTTTGGGAGATTTTTGAGTTTGACCCCTTAAGTATTAATATAAGCTCGCATTTGTTCTGCAAATTTCCACTGCAAACAACACCTTTTGCACATTCAACAAAGACCATTTTGAGAGGCGTCTCATATGTTGAGTTATTTTTATTTCGGAGATGCATCTCCAGAACATTTTAAGAAAAAAATTTTAATTGTTCTGTTCAGCCGATATTCCGAAGATGCATCTCCGAAATTATGGGCGACATTTTGAATTTTTTTGCCACTTTTGCATGTCAATTTTCGGAGATGCATCTTCGGAAATATCTGATATAAAATTAGTTGTATGGTCACTTAGCCATTGTTGACATACTTGAGTTTCAACCAAACCCTTCACCCTAAAAATCCTTTATTCTCAATCCATTTTTTCACTCTAAATATCCATCCTTTTGGTTCATCATATCATAGGGAGTAAAAGAAGATTGAATTTCAAGTAAAGATTGTTCTTTTTCTTCTGCATTGCTCACATTAATCATCATTTTTTTTTGAAAAAAGTTACGTTGTGTCAGATAATGTATCTCCGGAACGTGTACGAACTTGTTCGGAGATGCATTTTCGAAAGTTGTCTGTGTTCGTTTTTGCATTAAATCTGTAGCACTAGTTGACCTTATGTTATGTTATTGTTTTAATTAGATATGATGCACCTCGATGTTTTCCCAAAACAAATTATTTCTTCGAACGTCCAAAGTGTGGTTGTTACTTCGAATGTTCAAGGGGTTGTTGTGAAGGCGGTAGATATTTGTAACGACTTTAAAGGTAAGCATGAGATTGAATCTCGTGATAAAATGCTTGAATGGATTTGTATGGAGGCATCTAAACTTGAATTTGGTGTGGTTATCAGAAGGTCCGATAATGGTTCAAATAGAAGATGCGCCTTTGTGACAATGATGTGCAAAAGAAGCGAAAAATATCGAACTCCTCTTCGAAAATTTAAAAGAGACGCCACGGGAGTAGAAAATATGAGTGTTCGTTTAAGGTTCGTGGTTACATGTTGGCAAACAAAAATTGGAGATTTAATGTGATATGTTGTTTGCATAACCATGATTTGTGTTTAAAATTAGCCTTTCATCTTAGTGTTTGTCGGCTCAAGCCAGAAGAGAAGGAATGCATTACTGACATGACCTTATATTTTGTTCAACCGAAAAATATACTTGCAACATTGAAATGGAAATGACCCAACAATATATCAAATATCAAGCAAGTGTATAATATTCGGCACCTCACTAACAAGACGCTTAGGGGGGATAGAAATGAGATGCAACAACTCTTGAAACTGTTGGATAATAACAATTATGTGTCTAGGTACTGAACGTGCGATGATGGAGTTATGTGTCCATAAAGTTGTTCAACACGTTTCCTACGATGCTGATACTTGATTCAACCTACAAGACTAACAAGTATAGACTTCCATTATTTGAGATGGTTGGTGTTACCTCAATTGAGAAGACATATTCTGTTGGTTTTGCATTTTTTGAGTGTGAAAAGAGGATAATTTTACTTGGACTTTAGAGATATGTCGGTCACTTTTGAAGGTACAAGGTGAGATTTCTAAAGTGATTGTTACCGACCGCGATACCACATTGGTGATTCGGTTGCAAAGGTATTTCCTTCCTCTTATGAATTACTTTGTAAGTATTACATAACAAAGAATGTGAGAAGACGGGTTAAACCCGTGGTAGAGATGAAACAAATAGAGTCCAAAGGTGGAAAATTGGTGAAGGCGGGTGTGGTTGTGGAAAAAATAATGGATGCATAAAATCCTATAATAAATTATTCCACAAAAGAACTATATGCCAATTCCGTTATTCACTTCAGAAAAGTGTGTGAAAAGTATCCAAATTTGTTAAAATATGTCGAAAGCACAATTCTTGATCAGGTGAAGGAGAAAATAGCTTGTGTGTGGACTGGTAATGACAATCGGTAAAAACAAAAGGTGCTCAGAAGAAAATGAAGCCTACACCGAATGATAACTTGACTAAACGGTCTCTTTCATATTTTGAACACGTTTGTTGTACCCCAAATTTTACCCTTAGATTGCTTGATCCTTTACATATCATCTCAGGTCAATCATCCATGCATGGCTAACCGTTGTTATAAGTTTTTATTTGTTTTGTGAAGTTAGGGTTGCTGCAGAAGATTCAGAGATCATAGAGGCTTTGTGTGTATACTCCTAATCACCCCTGCGAGTCGTATTTGAATTCCTGTGGATATAAAAGAAGTATATGCCTTATTCTTATAGCTCTTTGATCAACACAAGGTCATTCTCTCCAAGATTTCTTAGACGTTTCCCACAAGGAGGATCAAGTTTTCCTGTACATTGATATGAAGTGTGGTTATTTAGGGCATGAAGTATTGTATGGTGTTGACAAGATTATGTACATTGCTTTCCAAAAGAGATATAAAAGAATGTGTCTTCATTGTATAGATTAAGACTTCATCATATTGGAATGTGTTTTCTTCTTAGGTTCGCGATTAAACTAAAGATTAAGTTTAACTCTGTTTCTATCTAAGAGGTTGAATTGTTATGATATTTTGATTTTAAGAGAAAGAATTGGAATTTTCTTGTTGATGTTGTGAGGTTGTAAGTTTGGATAAGAATCTTGAATCAAGTTTTTGCTATAAGATTTCAAAGTGACATTCAAGACTCGTAGATTCATTGTTAATTTCATCATAAGTTTCAATATGAAGTTCACAATTTTATGCTAAAATTTGAAGTTTGATTCCAAATTCAAAAGAGGTTAAGATTCATCAAGGTCTTCAAAATTAAGTTTGAGTACAAGGTCCATGCTTTAAGGTTCAAGTTCAAAATTTCAATCATGGATTACAAGGTTCGAGGACCATATTTTTTTTTTTGGGTTTGATTTTAGAAATCCATCAAAATGTTCAAAATGTTCAAATTGTGAGTTCAAGCATAAAGTTTCACTTCATTCAATGCTTATAAGATGCATTCATAAATTTCATATTTGATTACAAAGATTCAAATTCAAGAATTCGAAAATTCAAGATTCTTGTTTAAAAGATCCAATATGCAAAAACTCTCAAGATGACTCAAGATTTTAACTCGACTCAAGATTATATTGATACACTTTTTT